CTGACTGTGGCTGCAGGTCATACACTGAAAACAGGGCAGTGTCTGCTTATAAAGCAGCAAAATGCTGGCATCTTCCCGGCTCAGCTTCCAGAATGCTGGCGGCCCGGGGCCAGAGGCTGGAGGATTCTTTTCAGGTAGGGTTGCTGGATAAAATCCAGAATGCATGGTTACACGGGATTTCAGATAAGCAACAGATACTTTTTTTGGTATAAATATGTCCCACAAATTACAAATTTTTATTAGTAAAATCTAGCAATGCTATTCAGAAGAAACTAGGAGACCCAAGAAAAAAGTGCTGGGGACCACCCCTCATTCCATTTGCAGTGAAATGCTTTGATCCCTTCAGCTCCTACCCTGAGGCCCCTGCCAGAGCTTCCAATTAGCATTTGAGAGTCTCACCTTTAAATTCGAACAAATAACCAAGATCACCCAATGGAAAAACAAGCTCAGGTTGGGCCAGTGGGGGCCCAGAGGTCCATCTTGCTTCAAACCCCTTCCAGAGAATCTGCTGCCTATAGTGGCTAATGTCTGTAATCCCAGCACTTGGAGAGGCTGAGGTGGGAGGATCACTTGAAGCCAGGAGTTCTAGACCAGCCTGGCCAACATAGGGAAACCCCATTTCAACTAAAAATACAAAAAATTAGCCGGGTGTGGTGGTGGACACCTGTGATCCCAGCTACTTGGGAGGCTGAGTAAGGAGAATTGCGTGAACCTAGGAGGCAGAGGTTGCAGCGAGCTGAGATCACGCCATTGCACTCCAGACCAAGTGACAGTTCGAGACTCCATCTCAAAAAACAAAAAAATAAGCTGGTGTGATGGTGTGTGCCTATAATCCTTGCTCCTCGGGATGCTGAGGCTGATTGCTTGAGCCCAGGAGTTTGAGGCTACAGTCGCTATGATTGTGATATTTTACTCCACTTTAAAAGATGAAGTGAGACTCCCTTCAAAAAAAAAAAAAAAAAAAAGGCCAGGTGCAGTGGCTCATGCCTGTAATCCCAGCACTTTGGGAGGCCAAGGCAGGCGGATCATGAGGTCAAGAGTTCAAGACCAGCCTGACAACATAGTGAAAGCCCATCTCTACAAAAAAAAAAAAAAAAAAGGGAAAAAGGAGCTCAGAGGATACAGGGAGAATGCAGAGAGCTGAGGAGAGCTCCAGAGACACACAAGAGACCAGCCTCAGAGGCCGACCCCAGCCTCCTGCTGGCTCCTCAGTTCTCCACCGGCGGAGTCCTCCTCCTTCCTGTCTCTGGCTTTTGGAATACAGTCTTCTCTCTGCTCAGAGAACCCCTAGGTGTTTAAGTGTTGCAAAGGTGTCTCCTTCTCTACCAACTGAAGTGTTCTTCTGTATCATGACATAATAACTCTCAACCAGGCTGTGCCTGCCTGGACTCCGCTGTGCTGATCTTGAGCAGCTTGGAGGAAGAGGCCTCCCCGGGGCAGCAGTTGGCCCAGGGTCTCTGCCAAGTGACCCTGGCAGCTGCAGCCTCCTCGTGCCCCAGGAGCCAGGGTCCTGTCTGGAGGCTCCATCCAAAAGCTGGCCTGGGTCCCGACTGCCCTCTCAGCTGGCAGAGGATGGAGCCAGTTGGCTCTGCTTCTGAAGTGGGTGCACGAGCCCACGCTTGGCTCATGCTCCTCACTGATGGCCTCTCTTCTCAGCCTTGCTGAGCCAGGCAGGGTTCGTGCCTCAGTGCTGCATCTTCTCTCCTCCACGAACAGAAATCCCCGAGGGTCAGCAGTCTCGAATACCATCATCTTCAAATACCTGAAGAGCCGGTGTAAACAGCTGTTCAACTCACTTGCCTCACTTTCTTTTTTATTTTATTTTATATTTTTTTGTGAGACAGGGCTTCACCATGTTGGTCAGGCTGGTCTTGAACTCCCGACCTCAGGTGATCCGCCCACCTTGGCCTCCAAAGTGCTTAGATTACAGGCATGAGCCACCACGCCCGGCCACTTGCCTCACTTTCATCGAGCATTTCCTCTCTGCCTGCACGACTGAGGTCTTTTCTGATTTTTTAGTAATTTATATTGATTAGTCAGGTGCGGTGGCTTCTGCCTGTAATCCCAGCACTTTGGGAGGCTGAGGCGGGCAGATCACGAGGTCAAGAGATCGAGACCATCCTGGCCAACATGGTGAAACCCTGTCTCTACTAAAAATATAAAAATCAGCTGGGTGTGGTGGCATGAGCCTGTAGTCCCAGCTACTTGGGAGGCTGAGGCAGGAGAATTGCTTGAACCCTGGAGGGGGAAGTTGCAGTGAGCCGAGATTGCACCACTGTACTCCAGCCTGGCAACAGAGGGAAACTCCAACTCAAAAAAAAAAAAAAAAAAAGTAATTCATATTGATTTATTTTATAAGTTCCTATTGCTATTATTGATAATTTCATTTAATTGATCAAAAATTAAGATAAGGTCATTTTGGTAGCACAAACATTGAAATAGGGGTTTTGAAGATAGCAGGATCAACTATTTATCATCGTCACCAAGAGTTCTTGAGAGAGAAATGGGGCCCTTTTATTAATTATGCGGGAAAAACAGGTATAAACAGGGACCGTTCCATGCAAACTGAGACATGTTATCACTCTATTGAGACATGACTTGCTCAAACCTTAGCATCTCATTTATTTCCGAATTTCTTTTAATGATGGAAACAAGGGAGGGAATCTGAGTCACACAAGGAGTAACGGGTATTTTTTTTTTTTAAGCTTGCCTTAGAATAGTAGTTCTCAGCCTGAACTCACCTAGGGCCGGGATTGGCAAACTACAAGATCCAGCTGCAGTCTGTTTTTGTAAATAAAGTCTTATTGGAACACGGCTGTGGGCACTCATTTACCTTCTGTCTATGGCTGCTTTCATGCAGCGTGGGGTGAGCCGATGAGCCGCACTGGAGACGGGACGGTTCACTCCTGGGATATTTAGTGTCTGGTCCTTTACAGAGAGTATGCCTGTACTCTCAGCACTTTGGGAGGCTGAGGCAGAAGAGTAACTTGAGCCCAGGAGTTTGAGAACAGCCTGGGCAATGCAGCAAGACACCCACCTCGATAGATGTAATAGGTAGATTATAGATGATAGATTAATTAAATGTTTGCTGACCTCCAACCTTGGGAATGTAAAGTAGTTCCAATGTCTCACTCCCAAGAGACTCAGCTTTAATTGCCCTGTGAGACAGAGCACTGGCAATTTTTTTTTTTTTGAGACTGAGTCTCGCTGTGTTGCCCAGGCTGGAGTGCGGTGGTGCGATTTCGGCTCACTGTAACCTTCGCCTCCTGAGTTCAAGCAATTCTCCTGCCTCAGCCTCCCAAGTAGGTGGGATTACAGGCTACCATGCCTGGCTCATTTTTGTATTTTAGTTGGGGTTTCACCACGTTGGCCAGGCTGGTCTCAAAGTCCTGACCTCAAGTGATCTGCCTGCCTCGGCCTCCCAAAGTGCTGGGATTACAGGTGTGAACCACTGCACCTGGCCAGCACTGGCAGTTTTAACAGTGCCTTAGGCTGACAGCTGGGTACCATGGTGCATGCCTGTAACCCCAGCTACTGGGAGGCTGAGGCAGGAGGATCGCTTAAGCCTAGGAGTCCAAGGCTGCAGTGCACTGCCATCGTGCCTGTGAATAACCACAGCAACCTGGGCAATATAGTGAGACCCTGTCTCTAAGAAAATAAAAGAGTGTCTTAGGTCGTTCTACCATGGGAAATGAAACAAAGCCAAATTTGGCCAGAGGCAGTGTCTCAACAGGTACCCCCATACCATTCATTCTTTCTCTGTCAGGTAACACGTTGGTGATCTTCAGCTTTAAATCTGGGGGAGGGGATGCATGGGTTTTAATTTTTGTTACATTTTAAAAATAGTTTTAAGATTTACTTTAAAATGAAATTTGAGCTGGGTGTGGTGATGCATGCCTGTAATCCCAGCTACGTGGGAGGCTGAGGCAGGAGGATCATTTGAAGCCAAGAGTTCTGGGCTGAAGTGTGCTATGCTGATCTGGTGTCTACACTGAATTTACCATCAAATATGGTGACCTCCCGGGAGCAGGTAAATCGTCCCAAGTTGGAAACAGTGCAGGTCAGAACTCCTGTGCTGATCAGTGGCGGGATCGCGCCTGTGAATAATCACTGTATTCCATCCTGGGCAAAATAGTGAGACCCCAGCTCAAAAAAAAAAAAAAAAAAAAAAAAAACCAGACAAACAGACAAAAAACTGAACTTGAATCAAAGACTTGGGCTGGGCTTCTTACCTGGTTTAGTCTCTGCACAGCCCTCTGGGGTCTGGGTCCCACTTTTCCTTTTACAGATGAGGAAATGGAGCTGCTGTGGTTGAAGGACTTGCTCCAGGCTGCACAAAACCTCAGGCAGACTCTTTCCAAAGCAAATGCTTGACTTCTTGGGAGGGTTCCCCCCTCCCCAACACCTCTTTTCCATGAGCAGCTCCCAAATGTCAAAGAAGGCCAGAGAGGTTGGTGTCCTGCATTCATGAAGGCAGGAAGTGTTTATTGAGCACCTACTAGCTGCAGAGCTAGGCATGAGGGCACCACAGTGAAGAGACAAGAGCCCTGGCTTTATGGAGTTGGACGTCCACCATGGGAGACAGGCCCTGCGGGGATTTTGGGTGAAATGTCATTGAACGTCAGGCGAGCAGAAGCCCCAGTGCTGCTGACCTTGTCTGGGAGGATCAGGAAGGTTTCTTGGGAGGAGGTCGGGACACCTGAGCCGAGACCTGGAGGATGAGGCTGCGGCTGCCTGTCTTGAGTGCATGGAAGAGAATTCCAGGCAGAGGGAATAGCACATGTCAGGACCCAGCTGGGGAGTCCTGGAGACACAGCTGGTGCCTGGAGAGCTCAGGGAGGGGCTCAAGGTGGGGCTGGGGAGGGAGGAGGGAGGAGGGAGAGAGAGGCAGTTTCCGCACCGCCCCCAGGGGGTTAAATTAAACTGGTGAGTCAAGATTCCAAGAAAATGAGTGGCTTCTTCTGCCAGAATTTTAGGCAACTCCACATTCCAAGACAGCCCACAGCTTCCTCTAACAGTCAGGCTGTTCCCAGCCCTTGTGGAGGAGGCAGGAGACGGCCACTAGCTGGGACACTAGGTGAGAGGTCAGGCCTCAGGTGGGCATCTGGGTGGGATGACAGAGAGGGGTAGGGGAGTCCAGGACACTGGAGACCCTCAGGCCCATACTCGGGGTGCCCAGCCCTGCACCTGCTACCTGTCTGCATTTGCGTCCTTGGGAAATAAACTTTGAATCAGAGATGTGCAGGAAGTTTGGTGGGGCATTTTCTCAGACGCTGCACCTGTGAGGGAGGGTAAGCAGCTGGGCCACCATGCTGAGGTCTCATCCCCCCTCCATAGGAGCTCTGAGCTGGGTAGGCCCTTGAGACATGTTCCCAATGAAGCAAGGCAAAGACTTATCTACCAGTCATTGGACGCAAGCTGTCCCTCAGGGCAGGGGCCACCAGATCAGATGAGGCAACCCTCTGAGGCCGAGGGCAGTTCCTGGGGAGTTACTCAGCTGTGAGCTGCCAGATCTCACTCCCAACAGCCACAGGAATGGAGCGTCCTGGTCTGGGAGGGGGGATCTGCAAACACAGCATCCGATACAGCAGCTGTGTGACCTGGAGCACATGGCCTAACCTCTCTGAGCTTCCTTTATGCAAAATGGAGTCATGGGCTGTTGGAAGGATTCAGGATATTGGATGTGAAGCACCTGGCCCCGGTCTTGAGCCCCAGAAAGTACCCAGGAAGTGTTTGTTTAGTTGAAAGAATCAGTGAATGTGTTGCTTCATAATAAGAATGAGTCTGAGAACTCCCTTTCTGGTGAAAAGATCACAGGCCCAGGAGGCAGGAGAGAGTGGTGGGTTCCAGCAGTGACTGGTTGTGTGACAGCAGAATGGTAAGACCGTAGGCTTTACACGTAGCTCTCTGGGGCTTAATTTCTTTATCTTGTAAACACGAATAATGACACCTGTGCCACTTTCTCCTAGGCTATCTCCTCGGTGTTGGGAGACTGAGTGGAGATCATGCGATGGGAGGTGAAAGTTTTGAAAGGAAAAAGATATCATCAGTTTTTACAGGTGGGGTGGGTGTGGCAGCCGATTGCAGAATAGGAACCTGGAACCCTGGGTGAGCTGGAACCCTGGATGAGCCGGAACCCTGGTCAGGCATGAGTTCAGCCCTGCACCCACGTAAGCTCACATGTTTGCATGCGCTCCCTCACACATGCATGCCCCTGCAGGGGTGCACACACAAGCATGTGTTCCCTAGTAATGCACCCACTCACAACCACCCAAGCAAGACAAAGGCAAGGAGTGGAGCTGTCTGCGGTGCACCTGAGGCCCTTGCTCCCCTCCCCGCCATGAGTACATTGTGGAGGGCTGAGGACTGGGGCTGCCAAGAAGGAGCCTGGGCTGGAGGCCACATGCGTTCGGGTCAGGCTGGCAGAGCCGTCTGTCTGCCTCTTGTCTCAGTCTGCCAGGCTGGGCGAAGGCCACGTGCTAGGCTGAAGAGCCCAAGCCAATGTAAATGGGCTCCTTTGGAAGTAGGGCTCATCTGGAGAGCGAGCAAGCAAAACAAGCTTAGCTTTTCATTTAGGAGCGGTCACAGAAAACTGAAATGCACCGAAGAGTTGATGGCATTGGCGTTGATCAGCGGGCATCGAGGGTGCTTTCTATTTCCATCCCTTTGATTTCACTCATGTTTTCCTGCTGTCAACTTCCATTAGCATTGAATAGTTATCAGGATCATCAGGGTGGTTTGGCTGAAGATGTTTGTTGATGGTGTTTGTCCAGCTCCTTTCCCTGCCCGTAGCCCTTCAGTGGCCCTCCTGTGCTCTGAGTGGTTCTGCTAGGGCCATGAATTGTGGAAGCTTAGACTGGGGGCTGTGAGGTGGGAGTGTGGGCTCAGCCTGGTAATCTGCCGCTCTCCTCCCCAAGTCTGTGGTCATTGTCACATGGCCTGTGTGGGCCAATCAGAATTCTCCCTTGCCATATTATAGGCAGACACTGGGGAGATAAGCTCTCCCCGAAATATTAACATTGTCTCTGGCCATGTTCCCTTTCCCTTCACTACCCAGAGAAGCAGGAGGTGGGGGGAAGTGTGAGAGAGAGAAGCAGCCAGCTGGAGAAATAAATATAAGTCCCTTTGATTGTAAGATATGATTACTTATTTTAGATGCAACTGTGATGCTTAATTTCATGTGTTAACTTGACTGGGCCAAGGGATGCCCAGATAGCCAGTAAAACATTAGTTCTGGGAATGTCCGTGAGGGTGTTTCCAGAATAACTTAGCACTTGAGTCAGCAGACTGAAGGAGATCTGCCCTCACCAGTGTGACCAGGCATCTTCCCATCAGTCGAGGCCCCAGATAGAACAGAAAGGTTGAGGGAGAGGGAGTTCTGTCTTCTGCAGCTGGGACACCCATCTTCTCCTGACCTTGGACATCAGAGCTCCTGGTTCTCAGGTTTTTGAACTGAATGGCGCCACAGGCTTTCCTGGCTCTCTTGCTGGCAGATGGCAGATTGTGGGACTTCTGGGCTTCCATAATTCTGAGAATTATTCCTAGAATAAATCTCCTCTTACATTTTTATATGTGTTCTATTGGTTCTGTTTCTCTGGAGCATGCTGATTTGTACAGTTAAGAAAGCAAAAAAGGCTACCAGTTAAACCATGTCTTTGGCTGTAAGTCACATTCTAATTTCAGAGATCTGAATATGTGAAAAACATGTACACTCATGCATTTAACGATGGGGATACATTCCGAGAAATGCATCATTAAGTGATTTTTTTTTTTGAGAGAGAGTCTTGCTTTGTCTGAATGGTACGATCTTGGCTCACTGCAAACCTCTAGCCTCCAGATTCAAGTGATTTTCCCACCTCAGCCTCTCAAGTAGCTGAGGCTACAGGAGTGTGCCCCACAATACTGGACCAATTTTTGTATTTTTGTAGAGATGAGGTTTCACCATGTTAGCCAGGCTGGTCTCAAACTCCTGACCTTGGGTGATCCACCCACCTCAGCCTCCCAAAGTGCTGGGATTCCAGATGTGAGCCACCACACCCGGCCTTTTCAGTGATTTTCTTGTGTGAACATTATAGACTGTACTTACACAAACCTAGATGATATAGCCTATTACACACTCAGGCTTAATGGCACAGCCTGTGGCTCCCAGGCTGCAAACTTGTATAGCACATTACTACAGGCAATTTTAACACAAAGTTATTTGTGTAACTAAACATAACTCAGTCTGGGCAACAGTGTGAGACTCTGTCTCAAACAAACAAATGGCTGGCAGTGCTGTAAGTTTCTTTACCCCAGCATCACTGTGAGCACGTGAGCAATGCATCGCACCATGACATTACAACAGCTACGACATCATTAGTCAGTAGGAATTTTTCAGCTCCATTATAATCATATGGGACCACCATTGCATATGTGGTTTGTTGTTGACCGAAACGGTGTTGTGTGATGCATGAGTGTACTCAAGAATCAATAAAATGTATATATGGAAGGATGGAGAGAGAGAGAGAGAAAGCGCAAGAGAGTGTGAGCAAGGCCAAGACAGTGAGAGTACACACAGGATCAGGAGAATGTGTGTGTGAGACAGAGAGGGATAGAGGGAGCAGATTCCTGAAGACATCTTTAAGCACCTGGATTCAGCCATTCCTGAAGCTGACATTGTTATTAAAGGAGGCTATAAAGATCCATTGTTTCTTAGGCACATATGAATTAGATTTCTGTCACTTTCAACTCAAGGAGTCTAGGATAATTCCTCTTCTTCTTCTTTTTTTTTTTGAGATGGAGTCTCTCTCTGTCACTCAGGCTGGCGTGCAGTGGTGTGATCTTGGCTCACTGCAACCTCCGCCTTCTGGGTTCAAGCAATTCTCTGCCTCACTCTCCCAAGTAGCTGGGATTACAGGTGCTCACCACCATGCCTGGTAATTTTTGTATTTTTAGTAGAGACGGGGTTTACCATCTTGGCCAGGCTGGTCTTGAACTCCTGACCTCGTGATCTACCTGCCTTGGCCTCCCAAAGTGCTGGGATTACAGGTGTGAGCCATTGTGCCCGGCCCAATTCCTCTTCTGCCTTTGATCTTTTTTTTTGCAACAGAAAGGGCTTTGTTTGTTTGTTTGTTTGAGACAGAGTCTCACTCTCACCCGGGCTGGAGTACAATGGTGCAGTCTTCAATCATTGCAACTTGTGTCTCCTGGATTCAAACAATTCTTGTTCCTCAGCCTCCCAAGTAGCTGGGATTGCAGGTGCCCACCACCACACCTGGCTAATTTTTTTTTTTTTGTATTTTTAGTAGACACAGGGTTTTGCCATGTTGGCCAGGCTAATCTGGAACTCCTGGCCTCAAGTGATCCCCTGGCATCGGGCTCCCAAAGTGCTGGGGTTATAGGTGTGAGCCACCATGCCCGCAGGCTTTTGTGTTCCACTGTTCCCTCATGGCTAAGGACTCTGTAGTCTACTTCACTTTAAGGATGCACAGTGCATAAGAGGGATTAAGCCTGAGCAGGCGCACAGCAGATACCTGGGGAACTGAGTTGGGATCACTGATACACCTCCTTGATTGTAAGTGTTGGAAACCCCAGTTCAAAATAGATTGAGTGAAAAGTGGAAATGATTGGCTTGTGTGTGTGAAAAGTCCAAGAATATAAGTGCTTCAGGCACAGATGGATCTAGGGGCTTACATGATTTTTTTTTCCAAGATGTGGCCTTTCCCTTTCTGGGTGCTACTTTCTTTGTTGGCGTCACTCTCAGGCTGGCTGTTCTTTGAGGTGACTCCTGGTCGAATGTAGACCCTCCAAGTCCAGAATCTCAGTGGAAAGAAATATCCGTCCTCCAAAAAATTCTATCTGAGGGCCTAGAATTGAACACCAGTGGGCAGGTGCTGTGCATGCACCAATCAGGGATTCCCTAGCCTGGAAGAAAATGTACTGATTGGCCACGTGAGGTCGCATGACCCTTGAGTGGGTGGGTAAGGAGGAAAGTACCTATCTGAAAGTGAAGGAGATGTGGTTCCTCAAAGATAAATGCAAGTGCTGTCTACAGGAGAGGTAAGGGACAGCAGTCATCATCCCCAGTAATTCTCGTCC